GCTCATGCGCAGCTGGCAGGGCTGGAAGGTGCGCAACCAGCTTGGAAGACAGTTTGGCAGTTTCGAAAATCTTCAGCGTACAGCTGAGACAGAGTCACCTGAGCACAGCAGGACTTGTGCGTGCTGAGCCTGGTGGTACCAGTTTACAGTCCTCAATACTTCTGAGGCTGAGGCAGGAGGAACACAATTCAAGGTCTCCCTGGATTACATAATGAGAGCCTGTCTCAAAAAAAAAAAATCCAAAGACCCAACTCCTTGATAAAAGCAATGGGGACCCTATGATTTCTACTTCCAGTAGACAAAACAAAAACAATTATGCAATTATGCGTACAAAGCATTCAGAAAAGATGGACAAGCCATTAACATCTTCTTAAACATACAGTTTGGTGTACACCTGAGAAAAACGGGGGGGGGGGGGCTTATTAGTTACATAAGCATGGGTTATTAGTTACATAAGCACCGGGAAATGTTATATATTTGTGTGTGTGCGTGCATTGGGGTGTGTGTGTGTGTGTGTGTGTGTGTGTGCATGTGAGTGTGTATGTGTGCACTTGCATATGGGAACTAGAAGATTTCTTTTTTGTGACATGGTCTCTCATTGACCTAGAACTCACCAAGTAGGTTAGGCAAGCTAGCTAATGGGCCCTAGGGATCCAGCTGACTCCACACCCTCGCTCTGGGGTTACAAATGCACACCACAGTATCCAGCTTTTTTTATGTGCGTTGTAAGGATCAAACCCGGATTCCTATGGCAACTACGCCATTTCCCTAGCCAAGTGTTTTGGTTTTGACCGTCATTCAGAATCTAGAACTGATGTGTTCCCATATTCCTGAGATCACTAAAGGGCTGTGCTCTTAATGAAAGGACCAAAATGAAAATAGAAAGAATGAATCACACTTGGCTGATCCCAGAGGAAAACAGAAAGGTTACCTTGGGAAAAGATCATTCTGAGACCACACAATCCCGGCCTAGCCACCTATAGACACAGGATTTGAATTTATTCCTGTTGCCAGAGAACTCCAAAGTAGATAAACTAATTTAGGATGCTCCAGCCTGAAAATATTCCCAAGACACTTGACCTGGAGGAAAAGAAAAAAAAAAACAAAAAACGGTGCTACAAAAGCCTTACTCAAGCCTCATAGCAAGACTTTGGTCACTAAAAGTGATTTCCCAGTGCAAAAATAACACACTCCAGCAGAGAACCAGGAAAGCATTACGTGAAAATGAAAAACACTTGAGTAGCACTTTGTGACTGTGTACTAAATTTTTTCTAAGCTGGGCAATCCCAAGAAATTCATAAAATCTGATGCCTTTTTATTCACTGGGGAAAAAAAATGGAGTCAGGCAGCAGTGGCACAGGCCTTTAATGCCAGCAATCGGGAGGCAGAGGCAGGCAGTTCTCCAAGTTCAAGGCCAGCCTAGTCTACAGAGTGAGTTCCAGGACAGCCAGGGCTACACAAAGAAACCCTGTCTTGAAAAAGAAAAAGAAAAAAGAGAAAAGAAAACAATTTTAGAAATCCATTTGTCTTGGTTACTTTCCTACAGCTGTGACAAAACATTGTCACCAAGGCCACTTAAAGAAGGAAGGGTTTGGGGCCTAGGGTTCCAGAGGGCTAGATCTGCCACCATCACAGTGGAGAAACATGGCAGCATTCAGGCAGGCGTGGGGGTTGGAAGAGCTGAAAGTTCACATCTCAGAGCACAAGCAAAAAACAGAGAGAGTAAACTGGGAATGGTGCCTGGCCTTTGAAACCTCAAAGCCAGTGGCATATTTCTCCTGTAAGACCACACCTTCTAAACCCACTCCAATCAACTGGAGACCGAGTATTCAAATGCCTGAGTCTTTGGGGGAACATCTCATTCAAGCCACACCATTAGAAAGAAGGAAGGGGACATCTGTCATAGTGAGCCACAAAATGACAAATGCAAGTGATAAAATAACATCTGGCTGGAAACTTCATACAAAGAACCAAGGCTATGTATTTGTATGTGTATGTTGTATGTAACCGCTTTTATGGAGATGAACATCCCAACTTATCCAACTGTAGGACTGAGGGAAAATTGAAGAAGATGGTTTTTATTATTGTTTGGCTACTTTTAGCTTTGCAGTGAGCATTTGTAACTTTTAAAAAATAAGGAAGTAGTCTAAAGAAGTCTTCTGTTTATAACAGAGATTCTGTTTATAGCAGAGATCTTGCCACTGAAAATAATGGACAAAAGCCCATTTTGTAAGCATAGAACAGCTGCTGGCTACATGGAAGCTGAGCCCTGGGCCAGGAGGACAAATCCAGAGTTCTTTGATGATCTTGGGGCCATCATCTCAAACGCAGTTACTAAGTTGATTCTAAGGAAGTGTCCCCTCTGAGAATAAGGTTCACTGTGAAGACCTTGGACATGACTGAAGAATTGATTGCAGGTCACAGATACCTTACAATGTCACTTTGTAGTCATGGGCCAAGAGATTCCATCACAGCATTAGAAACAATAGCTCATCCCCTGCCTGGTGCTTGGTTCAGGGTTAGTCAGGTAATCAAAGAAATGCTAGTCAAAGAAGATTGACAAGCTGCATATAAGAACATATTAATAGAAAAAAAGCTAACAACTCCAAGACATTTTGAAGAATTATCTAAAATGTCCTTAAAAAAAGAGAGAGATGTCTTGCTTACTAATGTATGAAGATGCCGTGATGAAGCCTAGTACTTTGTATGTTAACCTAAAAGATTGTTACGAATTTGTTTTTAAAACGGTCTTGTGGAGAAAAGACCCTTGTTAAGATGTGAATTTTATAGTCCACAGAGAAAAAAAAATGCTTTATTGTAAAGGTGAAGACTTTGCTGAGAGATTTAATGAAGGATAAAAGAACACTTTTAAGACATTATTTTTAAATCGATCATTCAGGGATTTTTGTTGCATTAAAATTAGCATCTGAAATCTAGCAATTGCAAAATGAATTTTGGGGCCACTAATTGGCTCAGTGGGCAAATCAGCTTGCAGCCAAACCTGATGACCTAAAGTTTTATCCCTGTGATCCCCTTGGTGAAGGGAGAGAATCAGCTTCTCCAAGTTGTCCTCTAACCTTCAAACATGAACCCTGGTATATGTACATGCCCCGCCCCCCCCCCACAAAACTAATCACTGTGATGCTGAAAGAGAAAGGCAGAAGTGTGAGAAAAGCTCTCTCTTAAATGTCAGTAAAGAACAGAGGAGAAATAATTCTCAGAAAAACACCATTTCATTTTGTGTCAAGGCAAAGGAACACTAAAGCCCCAAAGTGGCATTTGAGGGACAATAAATCCACATTGTCCTAAGGTATTCCTCCCACAAATGCTAACCATTTGCAAAGTAAACATAATTTTATAACAGAGACATCCATGGGCACCAACTTAACCTAAGGATCACTGCTCTGTTCAGTAATAAAGATGAGAACTGATGTCTCTTTGATGTGAGCTGATAAAAGCACACAACACCCCTAGTGAAATCTTGCCAATAGTACTTAACCTCAATGCAAGCCTTGGTTTGCTTATAGGAACCACAGGGGTTAGGTGTCACAATATAGTAGAAGAAAACAACCAAATCTAGAGAGTGGACTCTTTCTAAAAAGCTAATGCCATTTTTTAAAATATAGGTATATTATTCTAAATTAAGAAGACTAGAAACCTATAACCAATTGCAACATGCAGCATCAGTCAACTTGTGGTTGCAAATGAAAGAGGATAGGAATCTCCCATTCAGAAGTTCTTCAGACAGGCCAGGTGTCATGGTGCACATCTGTAATCCCAGAAGTGATGAGGCAGAAACAGTCCTGAGTTCAAAGCCATTCTGGGTTATATTGGTTGAAGCCAGCCTAGAGATTAGCACATCTTCTCTCAAAAAAAAAAAAAAAAGAAAAGAAAATGTAAGTTTAAAAACAGCACATCAATATAAATATTTGATGAGTTCCTGTTATTTCAAGTATGATCGTATCATTGTATCAGAATTTCTTCTTACTCTTAGGAAATGCATCCTTGAGTTTTTAGAGACAAAAGACCACTCCTAACACACACTTTAAAACAACATAGCAGGCTGGAAATGGTGGTGTGTGCCTTTGATCCCAGAACTCTGGAGGCAGAGGCAGGTGGATTTCTGTGAGTTAAAAGGCCAGTCTACTCTGCATAGAGAGCTTCAGACCAGCCAGAGCTACACAGTGAGGCCCTGTCTAGTAAAGAAAGCAGCAGTGTTGTGGATCGGAGATGGCAGGATTGCCATATGGCTTTGGCCTACAAAAGCAGCAATCTGGCTTCACACAGAGTTAAAAAGCAAACATGGTAAAAATGCTCTAACTTTTGAAGTTGGGTGCTGACTTCACATTTGTTTACTGTATTGTCCTTTCAACTTTCTATGTTTAAAAACTTGCGAGTGGATTCTTTCCGAAACTTCCTCTAAGTCATCTGTGCACATCTGTAATTCCAGCATTCACTCAAGTGACTTAGGAAGCAGAACTGCGAGAACTCAGGCCCAAGGGGGCTACTGTGAGACCCTGTCTCAGGAAAAAATAGAGACAAGAACGGGGGAGGAGAAAAGACAGATAACAAGATCTACCTTAACTTTTAAACTACCTAAACTTTATCTATTGTTTATTGGTGGGAGGGTGGTTGGAGAGATGCTCACTGCTTACAAGCACTTGTTGCTCTTGCAAAGGGCCCAGGTTCAATTCCCAGCACTTACAGAATAGTTTACAACCATCTATAACTCCAGTCCATGGGATCTAGCGCCCTCTTCTGACCCCCACAGACACCAGCCACACACATGCTCCACATCCATACATGCAGGCAAAATACTCACATAAAATAAAATAACATAAACCTAATAAAAATATTTTTAAAGTGGTTTGCTTTTCAAAATCCGCCCATTCGCTAGCCTAAGCACAGTAAAAACCTATCTCAATTATAGCAAATAATGCTGTACTGCTGGAACAAGGCTAATATAAATCTCAACAATAACAGCAACAGCCAGCACAAGATTTATAGGTGTAAACATCTGGTTTTTATAACAAATAACAAAGTTAACAGCAATAAAACAAATCATTTAGTACAGCATATAGTGTGTTATATTAAATTTACACAATGATATATATAAAAACACATACTGTTTATATCATACAGTAACTCAACAACAAGAATATCAAAACAGGAATCCAAACAACTACTATTCATGCACAAAACATGCATATATTGGTACTTTAAAAAGGCTATTTTACACAATACTGTTTACCAAAAGCTTTCAAAAAAATTTAAAGCCCTTCCAAATAAGTCAGTGGTCCAATGGGGCCTGGAATGCACTAATATTTAGGCCAGAGTTTAGGTGGCACCGTGCTCGGCGAGCAATTATGGGCTTAGAGTCATGCCCATTAAGGGTAAATGTCTTTGCACCAAAGGACCAACATTTTATCACCAAGGCAAGCCCTCTAAGGGACAAACGGTTGTACTGGCTACAAGCCAGGAGCGGAGAGAAAGGCATCAAAAACTTCTGGATACATGGCCCAAGAGAGGGTTACTGTAACAAAGGCTGGGGCACTACATACGGCAAAGGTTTTTTGTGAATCTTCTTAAGGTACTGTTGGTCTCCCTACCCTGATTGCCACCTCCAGGTTCACAGTCTGGTCTACAAGTTCTAAATCCAATAAAAAGCACACTTCTGAGAAGAAAATGGGATGCGGAGTCCTCTGAGAAGAGTTGACTATATCAAAAAATTTACCGAAAGCAATGACCATTTTTTGCTACGTACTCTATACAATTCAATGCAATGCCCATCAACTGGAAAGCCCTTTCAGGGACACAGCCCTAAAGAATCAAGAAGCAAGTCCATGTCTTAAAAAATTCCATCCACGGCCCTTGGAAACAAAAGGTTTCATCCAAATAAAACCTGAACATCAAAAGCCTGTATTTTGCAGGCGCCCGGACAATATAAACCAAAACATAAAAAAATAAAAAAGTTGATAATCAAAATTCATTCACTATCACCACCATTAAGACCTTATTATTTACTTCCAACTAGCGATACATCCTTCACCTTCCATCAAAGGCACTAGCGTCCATACATAATTTATCGTGGGCTTATCCTAACTAAAGGTAAGTATCCCATTTAAGTATGACACAAATATTAAGACATCACTTTCTTTTCCAGAGACGTAGGGGTCAGGAGAAGGAGCACTCAAACGGTCGTCATCAGTTTCAAAGAGCCCGAGCGGAAGCGGAGGATCTTCTTCTTGAGGTTGTGCGATGCCTTGATCTTGACAAAGGTTTTTGTGGGACAGGTGTGGAGGTCCGGGGCGGTGACCGTCTGAAGTGGGAGAGTCTGGACAAACTGGGACCAGATTAAACCCCCGCTCTCCTCGGAGTCGCTGGTGGTGGTGCTCTCGCCCACGAACTCGCCCTCGCTCACGCTGGACTCGCTGTCGCCGAAGCAGTTGGTGGTGTAGTTGCTCTGCTCGTCCTCGCTGGTGTCCACCACGGTCGAGTGGAAGAGCGACTCGCACTCGGCCGAGTACTCTGAGTCGCTGGCCACGTAGGCGTAGGGGCTGGGGTAGGGCAGCGCCACGGCCACCGGGTAGGCGCCCGCGTGCTCCCTGCGGGCCCGCCGCGCCCGCCGCAGGGCCTCCTCGTAGGAGACCTCGGCCGACGACTTCCACCGGCGGTAGTCGGTTCGCTTGTGCTTCGGTTTGGCCACCACCGGCTCCCGTCCGTGCGCGTGCGCCCTGCCGCCCGCCCGATGGCCGCCAGCGCCCAGGGCCCTGCCTGGAAGGCCCGCGTCGGGTGGCCCACCGCGCCGGCCCTTGGAGGAGGCCTTCCTGAGTTTCCTGTTTGTATCCGAGTCGTCGGGGAAGCGGCACTTCTTGCCCGCCGCCCGCGTTTTCTCCCGAACGGTGGGCAGGCCGTGCTCCGGGGCCGCGGGGCCGCGAGCCTTCAAGGTGGCGCTCCTCGCGACGCCCGGGTTCCTGTGTGCACGGTGAGGCCTGGCGCCCGCCTGCTGCCCTGGGATGAACTGAGCTTTCACCAGATGCCCTTCTTCGAGGCTCTGAGACGAGCCCTCGCTTTTGAAGTCCAAGGGCGGCCGGTCCACCGCGGGCAGAACCTGGAGGCCGCCCTTTTGCGGCATCTTCTTCTGGGGCTGCGGAGCTTTGTTCTCTACCAGGGCGACGGGGCCTCTGCCGGGACTGGCTTTAGGAGAAACAGCTGAGACCTGGCCGCTTTCCTTCGGGGACTCACCCAGCCCCGCCGGACACCTTGCGAGCTCTTGAGAGGCTGCCTTGGCGGTTTTGGGCAGATGCTTGCTTGGAGGTTCGATGGCCGCCTCCGGCAGAGCCAACCTCTTGCTTTCCAACGGCTCCGCCTTTGAGTCTTTTGACCTCTGCTTAGGTGGGGAGAATGGCCCTGTTTCCAAAGAGGCTATTCCCCCAGAGGGCAAACACATCTGTTTCGTATTCTTAAGGTTCACACCACTGCCTTGTGGAACGACAACACCAGGGACCCTGACACACACACTTCCGTTCCTCAAAAGCCCCTTGGTTGGGTCAGCGTTCACACTCGTTCTAGGTTTATTGGTCCTTACAGGGTGTGTTTTTTTCTGGACCAGGCTCAGAATGTAGCCATCCATTTTCTTACTGGATGAAGAAGAATGGGAAGTCGACCACAAACTGCTTGGAGATGGCAAGGAGCTATCAGCTTTGGGGGCGTTCAGTTCAGATCCGAGGCAAATGTCACTGGCGTGGTTCCCAAGCCCCTCCTCTTCCCTCAGAGAGCTGCCCGTCAGACAAAGGAGAAACATTGGGCTCTGCACAGCCACGGCATGAAGTGGACTGGGATATCGATATACATCATTCCCGTTTTTAGACACCAGATCACACTGGTATTTAGGATTCACATCTGCAATGACATCAAGGGAATTAAATTGTGGTGTGGAGGGGGAACTGCAAATTGCCCCGGAGGCCTGGTCTTCACAGTGGCCGCCTTTACATTCCAACCATCCTATGAGATCTGAAAAACATGTAAAGGTACACTGAAGAAATGAACCGCTAGCACCAGCCTGACTCTGGCCGAATGTCACTAGAGAAACTTACAGGTGGAGAGAGAGTATCAAAGGATTGGGAAATACTCCACACTAGCTCTTCTACAAGTTTACATGAAGGTCATTGGTTACTGAATGAAGGCAAAAAATATCCAAGAACTTTGACAAAAATATGTATCATGCCTTTAACAAAAAATATAAGCCACGGATAATGCCTTGAAACTACTGAATAATGAAAGGAAATACTTCATGAACCTTAGCAACAGTAATGACATAAACCAGTGTAGTTTTTAAGATATGTAAAGAATCTCTGAAGTGAGGCACACCAAAATCCTAACAGTACCCTTCCATTGCGGTGAGGAAAAGTGGTGGTCGCGCTCTTCTGTTTCCAGTAACTGTACTATAGATGTGAGCTGTCATGTGGATGCTGGGAATTGAACCAGCTCCTCTGGGAGATCAGTTAGTGCTCTTAACCACTGAGCCATCTCTCCAGCCCCCTCAAATATTTTAAGGGACTATTTTTATTTTTAAGTGTGTGTTGTGTGTGTGTGTGTGTGTGTGTGCATGCTCATGTGTGTTAGTGTATATGTGTGCAGGTGCCCACAGAGATGACAGGACGCCATCAGACTCTGAAGCTGGAGTTACAAGCAGTTGTGAACACCTGAAGTGCAAGAGCTCTATGCACTGAACCGTAGCCTGCTCTCCAGTGCCCAATCTTATCACAGTAACAGCTAATAAAATTTAACATCCACTGTGTCTTCAGGAGTGACACTAAAAACAATACTTTTAATAAGATAAGGAATGTTTGGTAAGATTTTTAAAGACTGAGCAGTTTTACAAATTCCTTGGGGCTAGAGACAAGATTCAGCAGTTAAGAGCATTTGCTGCTCTTTCAGAGAATCTGGATTCAGTTTTCAGCATCTACGTGACTCTCTAGAGGATCTGATGCCCTCCCTCTTCTGGCCTCTGACCTATACATGTGTTGCACATACATACATGGAAGCATATTCATATACATAAAATTCTTTTTTTTAAGGAGAAATTCCATCAATCTCAAAAATGTACATGTCAGAATACAATGAAACAAAGCCCTTAGTTAAATATTGGTTTCTAGCTTGGAAAATATAATAACAAATTTTTTTATGACCTTCAGTTAGGGAAATTAGAAGTTTTTCTCTGTTATATCTATTCGTTTAAATAATGAGAACTTGCTATGTATAAAATTCTGTGTTAACTGTTTAGGGGAAAGTTTTATGACCTCAATTTTAGCAGTCTTGGGGGAAAAAACAAAAAAAATAGACTCAAGGATGATATAATTTGTAAGGATGACATAATTTGTAACAAAAATTTATAATTTTTGTTGTTATTGTTGTTTATGAAAATGCCATGTCTCAACCGCTAATAAAAGCCTGTTAACAGTAGGGAAGCTCAGCATGGTGATGTGCACCTATAATCCCAGCAGGAAGAGGGACAGGGCAGGGGAGTCCGGAGTTAAGAAAGAAGGAAGGACAAAGACCTCTGAAAAGAAAGGACAGGAAAAAACTAAAATGAGACCTCCCTAGCTGACATTGTTTCCCATCATCTCTCCCCTGACGCCTTAAATCCACTTTTTTTTTTTGTCTTAAAGTCACATTCGCCTATGAGTCTCCATTTGCCTTTCTCTAGACTTAGAGTAGAATAACATGGTCCCCAAGGCCCAGCCCAACTGTCTCAATTATGCAATGATGTGCCGGTTGGAAGAGCTAGGAGTCTGTCTTCAAGGAAAACCTGCCCAAAGTGCCTTTTAACGGGTTTATAAAGTTTCCCTCTGAAACCAGATCTGCAGAGTGATGGGGAGCAATTAGTAATGAACTTGAGGCCCAGATACTAGATAACAGGGCTCTGTACTCATCCCAAGTGGTTGATTGCTGCTGATAACACACACTGTACAAATGCAAAGGCTTGACCAATTAGCAACCTCAGCTGCTCAGTGTGATGTTTGTTTTGCCTGGACTCGAAAATTCAGCCTTGTACTGAGATGAAAACCATAGAGGGCAGCGGCAATCCCCGCTCCTCCAGCAGCTCTAAGCCTCAGATTTTCTCTGCTCTCCTATACCAGAATATAGCAGGAACGAGGGGGAGTTCCGGCTCAGGGACAACCCATTCAGCAAGCAGGAGCTTCTGGCAAGAACTGGCTGATAAGCCACATTTTTATTTTATTTTTTTAATCAGATGAGATGGTTGAATGTAACCATTTCTGAATTCTCTTGAAGTGGTGGGACAGCGTAAATTAGACCTGAGTTTGAATCCTGCCGTGCCCAACTATATATAGCCTCAAATCATTTAAAAGACTTCACTTGGCCTCATTTTCTTTTTTAATATTTAGTTTTCTGTGTATCTGCCTGAGTGTATGTACCACATGTGTAGAGGAGCCTGCAAAGGTCAGAAGAGGATCAGATCCCTTAGAACAAGGGTTACAGATGGTCGTGCTGGAACCTGAACCCAGGTCCTCTGCAAAAGCAGTAAGTGCTCTTAACTGCTGAACCATCTCTCCAGCCCCTCATTTTCTTAATACATAACTACACCCAAAGGTTAACAACTACACCCTGAAAAGTGTTAGGAGGATTCAAAACAGATAAATGTATGTAGAGCATCACAAATTCTTCCATCACTAATAATACCATGATTATCTCTAAAGCCTGGGGTGAATTATAATATACAGATTATGGGGAATTTTGTCATGTGGGGTATTCTGAGAAACATGGAGGGGCCACTGTTCCCAGTATCAACAGTCCTTGGCTAGACTGATGGGCATATGTAACTTAATGTGTAGTTTAAAGAATAAAAGAGTTCCAGAACAGTCTTCAAAAGAAAATAAAGGACCAGAAATGTAGCCCAGGGTAGTGTGCCAAGGGGTACCCCAGAAACACAAAAAGAAATGTAAAATGGGTCTGTTAGATTGTATAGTATGTGTTTAGTATATGCAAGAACCTGGATGCAATCACCAGCATGAGGGGAATGAGAGAAGGACAGAAGGAGGGAGGGACGGACAGACGGAAGGGTTAAACAGCAAAGAAACAGAGTATATATCTCTAATATAGGGACAATTCCTCTGAAGGCAAAGTGTCTTTCTAATTCCATAATATAAAGCCAAATGGCACCCAAAGAGTTGGTTAGTCTAGATGCTCACCTAGATCAGATACAGGCTCTGTGTGGAGCTGTGGCACTGAGTGCATGCAGCACACTGACCAAACTGTCTTCCTATCATGGAAGCCGCTGAAGCCACATAATTTTAAAGACCCCTGACCTCTCCCAATTAAAATTTCTGTCAGTGCTAAAAATCCTTACCTGCAGATTTGGGGCAACCATCTGAGATAGTCAAAGCTGCCTCCAAGGGGCTGCAGAAGCAGGTACTGGAATGGCAACTGGACAAACACTCACTGAACACGGAGTTAGAGGAATTAGAAAGGGATCCTGAAGCCCCATCACTCAGCTCATAAAACCCTACAAGTAAAAAGACGGTTGAAATTAAGATCATATTAAGCAATAATACATATTTATGTCTAAAAAGACAAAAGGGTAAAGCATCGAGGAAAAGAAAAGCTGGTTTCTGATTGAGATTGTTGGGGAGTTTCACATACATTGTAGATTTTAGGGTCCTGGTTATATGGTTTTATTTCAAATATTCCTTAGAAAAGGCAAAAATTATATAACTCTGGGTATAGTTCAAAGTTCCCTTCATCTTCCACTTTTAAAGGTGTGTAAATCTGGCAGAACCTCACCTTCATCAGGAGTGTTTCAAAAGGAATAACTAAGTTCTCTGGGTGTGGTGGCTCAGAAGGCTGAGGAAGACAAGAGTGGTCAGTCTGGGCTACCAAAAACCTGAAGGAAATACATAAGTAACTTTAGGAGAAAAAGAGACTTAGGAACCAAATGGCTTAAAAGAAGAAGATGAAATTGCGGTGATCTCAGGAAGCTGAAGTGTGACTCATCTTCTAGCCCAGATCTGACTCTCTCAGGTTCCAAAGCAGATCTGTTTGCTCCTCCAGAAATCTGAATAGAACTTCGTGGGTTTTGGACTCAGGGGACATTGGGCAGCTCAATGTCGTTATTAAAAATGTTGTAGACTGAATTTATTTCCCTCTCAAGCAACTGTATGGCAGGCTGCTTTTCAAATGTTCTCACACTGGAAACAAGCTCCATCGCTACTTGCTAGGACGGTTCCCTGAGGCGCCTGCTGGCTCACCTGAGCTAGGCCGGCTGTCCGAGTCCGGTTGCTCTTCGGACGTCTTTCCAACATCCAGTCTCAGGTCACTTATCTGTTTGTCGAGTTCCTGCAGCTGACTCAGCAGACCGGCATCTCTTCTTCTCAAGCAATTCTGATTGGGGAGAAGCAGGGGAAAGAGAACGGGCACGGTGGGTGACAAAGCCAGAATGCCTACAGAGGCCACTCATCCAGACAGTCACTGAGCCCTCCGAGAGCAAACGCTACTGGATAATCTGAAATCAAAACTTCAAGAATGCCAAGCATGCCCTATCTTTAAACCTTCCTCATAATTTTTGGTGATGAAAAGTTTGTTCATTAAAATAAGGCCAGCAGCACTTGACTCAGTGGGTTAAAAAAAAATGCTTGCTGCTTAAGCCTGGTGATCTGAACTCAGTCCCCTGAACCAGACTGGAAGGAGAGAACCAACTCCTGAAAAACAGGAATGATGCAGCACACAGCTGCACTCGTTGGCACACACCAAACACAAATAATAAAATTTAAAAACTCTATACGGCTGAGTTGTAGCTCAGTGGTAGAGAGTTTGACTGGTGTGCACTAGCCTCTGTGCTCAATGCCCAGTACTGTAGGAAAGGACAAGACTTGTTCTTGGCTTTTACTAATTTATACAAACTGTGGATTTTTAATAGGGAAGGGCAAGGAATTTGTACAGACTTTGAATCATCTGGAGTACAGCCAGTTTAAAGAAAAGGCTCTTGAAGTCAGAGTAAGAGATTTCCTACAGTACACTATAATCTTTCTTAGGTAAGGTTTTCTGGCCAAATGTCATGGCCTACAGAATTTTGTTTTCTATTAGTTGCTTAGTGGGTTTTAATCAGTTTTAGGGCCTTTGAAAGAGAGAAATTAATACTAATAGCCAGCGCCAAGTATAATGTGAGCTCGCAGAATCCAAAACCCTCGAGGGAAAGCCCATCAAGATTTGAACTCAGCTTGGGTTTCCAAAGGTGACAGATTGGTTGTGCTAACTCACACTGCCATCTAGTGCTTCCTATTACAAGAGAAGCAGAAGAACGCAAAAGGCATCTGGTTCAAATCAAGAATGCCAAGTCTACAAATGAAAACAGCACCGTAAACCCTGACTGCAGTGGAATTCTTCTGACACACTGCCTTGCTCCCCTGAAGCGGACAATAGGAATGCGCCACGCACAATCTTGAGATCCGCGAAGACAAAAAAAGACACTATTGTCCAAGACAACGCTAAAAAGTAAACGACCAGCCACAACCAGAAAGAGCTGGCTCAAATTCACGTACATACAATTCTGTTCTATCACCAAAGAAATAGTAAAAATGCCAAAACAGAGCTATTGCACAAACCACAGCACACATCCTTGCAAAATAGATACACAGAAATAGCCAGTCCTTCCTCGTGTTCTATGACTTTAAAAGCTGGGAGACATAAGCCATATGCTTGCGTGCTAACATTTGAATTTCATCAGCTAAAAGATGAGTTAAGTAAAAACGCTTTGATGTTCAATAAATACACAATCTAAAAACCGGCAATACAAGAAAACACGTGACAACCCCCAGCATCACTTTCAGAGGATCATTTTCTAGCATAAGTAGTCTAATATAACAGGGTGGGTTAATCTTCTTGCTGTTTCCAAAACTACGTTTTGAGGTCACTGAAACAAAGCTGCCGCCATTATTTTGAGGCGGCGTCAAAAGCTGTTCTCAACACACGAAGGTCCAAAGTTCTTTTCCTTCCTTGTTAATGAAGACTGCACAGAATGACTGAGACAGTGACAGAAATCCAATAAGATAAATGCTCCCAGCGAGCAGGTTCCCGCTTCTCCCACCTCCACCACCAAGCACAGCTGGCGGGCCGGATAAAATGCGAGAGGAGGGGGCAAGCTCATTGCCAGTATTTGCATCTAGTTTTAGCTGCCTTATACAAAGGACTTCTATTTAAAACTAAGCACCAGGAGAAAGAGACTTGCAGGGGAGAGAGTACCGGAAGGGGCACGGCTCCCAGCAGGAGCTTCGCTGTAACCGTAAAACTCAATGTTGGACAGTTAGCCGAGCCACAAACTCCCTCCTCGTTTTTGTCCACCCGCCAGGGGAGGGGGAGTAACTAGGGAGACCACAAGGTGAAATGGCAGTTTAAGTGGGGCTCGCAAACCTCTGAGGAAGGGGGCATGCAGTAGCCTAACTTTCAGGCTGGAACCAAGGGACTCCAAGAATTCCAAACGCTGGAGGGAAGGAAGAGCTGCCACCCCTCCCCGCCATCCGCGCGAGGTCGTCAGCTCCTCAGGTGACACAAAGCAGGCAACCTCCATGAACGCGTGGAAGTCACACGCCCCGGGCATCCACGACACCAGAGTCAGGGAAAATCGAGGCGGAGGTCGCGCCACGGCCAGGGATTCCGCGACCAGAGGCTACCAGCCCACCCTTCGATCTCGCCACCGGCCACCACCTACCAACTGCCTCCGCAGCAGCAAGATGTTCTCCTCCAGGAACTTCTCCTCCAGACGGCTGCGCTGCGCCGCGTCCCCCCGCAGCTCCCCGGCG